AGCCGCGCGGTGTTCGGGCCCGCCGGGCACCGCCGACCGCCGCCCCCGGCTACACACCACATGTAACACACGGTCGATTGCGACTTCAGACCAGATCTGGACGGTGACGCGAGCGCTGCCACTGGCCGTAGGCCATCTTCACTGGGAGCTGAAGTAGGCAGCGAGAAGACCTCGTCTGCAGCATCTCGCTCAGGTGGCCATCAAAAGCCGCGTCTTTAAAGCGTCAAACGTAGCGCAATGTCAGTCTGTGACTCCGTCGCGAGCCACGTGACGCAGTTATTACTGAACGCCCGTGGCTACTACAGACTACAGCACGCAATAAAGTATATGCTTGGTATATGCGCTCAAATCATTTCGTGCGGTGCGACTTGCCGTCGAAGCGTGGCGTGAAGACGTGAGACGTTGAGACGCGTTTTCGCCGCGTATAAGACGTGTAGCATTTTTGGCATGAGACGTGAAGTGTTTTCGCAGTGAGATAGCGCCTTCGCCATGAGACGCGTAGTGTTTTCACAGGGGTGACTTTGCTCAAGCTACATCTTATCTGTTCTCTGACTCAGTCCCTGCAGAGGGTATATTGTAATGCGTTTTTAACCCGCGCGGGGCTGGGGTCTCCAGCCGAACGCGCGGGGCTGGGGGGGGGGGGGTAAATTTTACCCCCCCCTGTTATCTCCCGAACTAATGGTCCGATTTGGAAAATTCAAACGCCAATCGAAAGCTCTCATCACGAACTACTAAAAACATGTACTTAATTTAAAGTTTGAGGTCAAGGTCAAGGTCAGGTCAAGGGTACAAATTGCAAGTTTCTACAGTATCGGCCTTGCACCGTAGTTGCCGAAGAATGGAGTCATGGACTGAGACTGATCGCCCAAAACGTGTTAGGCTACCAAGACAAGATTCGTTGCATACAATATCATTCAGAGGTCAAGGTCAAGGTCAGGTCAGGTCAGGTCAGGTCACCAAAAAACAAAATATAGAAAAGGGCATGTACGATACATGTTTTATGGGTCATTTTACTCATAGAATTCAATAGGCACACTCAATAAGTGATATGGACCACCTCTGGATGAATTTCAGGTCGAGGTCAGGTCAAGGTCAGGTCAAGTGAGGTCAAATTTTGAAGTTGGTTGTTAAGGCCTAAAAAGGTGTCTATCTGATGCAGTTTTTCACGGCGAATCGAATGGTGCTATCTTTGTTTCCGTACGAGGTCTAGAACTTCCAAAAAATTCATTTTTCAAAAAAATTGTGTGTCGTGACGTCATAAAATTTTGAATAACTCCCACATTTTTGAACCGATTCTTCTAAAATTTGGTATGTAGGTGCACATAGACCACTTCTCTGACATATATTCCGGTTTTTTCGATAGACTCAAAATTTTGGATTTTATAATGATTTTCCCAAAAAAGTCAGTTTTTTGAAAAAATTTAGGCCAAAATCCAAAATCTTCAAAAAACCGAGATAGCCATTTGATAGACAAAGTAAAATTACGTATAACCTTTTTTGTTACGTCTTGATTCCTTTAAAAATGATGATGTTAGCGGCGTTTGAACTTTTGCCGTTTTTGAGGCGAAAATGGCGAACATGACGTCACTAAAACGTCAATTTGTCAAAAATTTTCCGACGGATTTCGCTCAAATTTTCAGGGAACGTGTCAAATTGATGTAAAAAAAGGTACTGAAAGTTTGGCGGCGCTGCGCGCCGCCGTTTTTGAGATATCGCAAAAATTCGCGAGGGGGGGGGGGTAAAATTTACCCCCCCCCCAGCCCCGCGCGGGTTAAGATAAGTGACCGACTCTTACTCTTTGTTAGCGGCTTCATGTTGTCACTGTGTTTTGAGTTCAGATCCCTATACTGGCTTAAGAACCATTTGTGTTATGACATTCCCAATGTTGGTAAATAACCAGCCCAAATAAATATGACATGGCTGTGGGTTACATCGAACCCCTGGATCAGTTATGCGTACCCTCTCGCGCGCGGGTCGGTCCAAAAGACCCTTCGTCAGTCTGCTGTGGTGCCCGTGCCGCCACCTACTGAGGGTGACTCCGGCTCTGCTCAGAGCAGTGCCGGACATAGCCTGTGCCGGCTCCCCGCCACTGCACCGGCCAGCAGCCCAGAGTAAGCAGTAAGCACCCACCAAGCCAAACAAACGTCGGACCGGGCCGGCGCCGCGGGTCAGGCGGTGCGCTCACGAGGGGTCGCCGGCCCCAGGGCCGCAGTGGCCGGGCCGCGGTCACTCGCGGAGGGCGTGAGGGCAGGCGCACGTTTAGACTCACTCGCGGCAAACTATGGATGGATGTTACTGCTGAATTTACTGCCCAGAACCTCTCATCCCGTGCACAGCTATGCACCATTAGAGGAAGGTCAGAATTGTGATGCGAGTTCAAAGGCGGACCCCAGAGTGTTTACTGTTCGTTTTTGCTGGGTGAGAACGGTGCTCAGAATTCGGACCGTGGAGCAGCTCTGTATACCAAGCAGCGCTGAGCGCGGCGGATACGGCCGTGCTCGCCACTAAGCGATGCGCTATCGACTGTGGCGGGCACGATAAACGCGCCCAGATCCGTTGAATATAGAAGTGACGTAGGACTGTTACATAATGCATTGTTTTGATAGTGGATATTTGTTTGCCTAAAACACGTTGTTTTCTTTTCCAAACAATGTTTTACGCTAGGGGTGGTATAACGTTTTTTGATGTGCCTCTGCCTTGACAAGACTAGACTAAAATTAACATTGCTTGTTGTCATCGTAAGGCAGGCAGGAAATGCAAACTGCAAAGTAGAAATCGCTAATTTTTAGGACGGTGCGTTCCAATGACTGTAAAGTTGTAAGCTCATCTTAACAGTCCCTCGGTTGGTTTTTCACCACCATTTTGCCGCCTGTCTGCTTCGCTCAGTCTGTCCTACCGTCCCTACCCTCTCGGCCTAGTCCTGTCTCAGTCCCCAGTCTGCTCAGCCCTCAGCCTGCCACCCTCCGTCCCGACCGAACCCTCTGTCGCCGTGCACTGTTTGTCGGCCGGTCCCCTGCCGTCTGTCACTGGGTCACAGCTCGCTGGCCACTCCCGGCGACCAAAGGTCAGTGGTCCTCTCTCCGCACCGCAGACGCCAGGGAACGAGCCAGCGCTCTCAGTTGATAGGCAGCGTCTCGAACTGGGCGTCTGCCCGGCGACCGTACCGGTCAACGGGTCGCACAATCCACTCTTACTGCAGCAGGCTACAGGACGCGAGATTAGGTGTTCAGCTGGGGGCGACACTGCTGGACAGGGTTTCAATAACAAATAACTGGCGTTATCTTTAGTTAATCCCGTAACGCTTCGGCATCGTATGCTCCATACTCATGTGTTGGCTGTTTATCGGCCGGCCGTCTCTCTCTCCCTTATATCCCATTCACCTTCCAGGCGATCGTTAGCGAGAGGAGACGGTCGACGAGGTAAGGAAATGAAGGTAAGTAAAACCAACGCAGATGGTTGGAGGGGTGGGTGGAGGAAACGTGCTCAGCAGCGACCGCTGTTGGTCCGCTTCACTCGCCCGGGCCGCGTTGAGTGGACCTGAGCCGTCCCGCTCACGGCCGGCCCGCTGGCATGACGTCACGAACCCTCCGGCGAGGTCAGGTCGGTTCACCGCTCGACAGTGCCGGCCAGCGTGGCTCTAGAGGTCAACCGCGGATACGCGTTTGAGCAAGGATGCGACGTTACCATTAACTGGCATATACTTGAACTGGGACACATGACATTCTGGCACTTATGATGACGGTCTCGCCACTGCCTGCACTGCCTGACACGTGAGATGATCATACGGGTAGGCGGGCGGCGGTCACTGAAACGAGGTCAGAGTGAGACGTTACTGCCGTGAAAATGATTATACCCACTTCCGTTGTGGATATCGTGGCAAAGGGCATTATTACTTTACTAATGGGCCACGGCGAGGATGTCCCATTTAATCTAACCATTAAGTACGGCGACCCGTAGTTGTTTCTGTACATATACAGCCCAGGAGCCCCTATTCTAACCATCTGCCCTATTGAGTGCCCAGTAGTAATTGTGTGCAGGAATATCAACCGCGGGTCCCAATTCAGTGTATAGGAGCAACTGATGGCTTCTGTATATGTGTTCTGATAGTTTATTGTGGTTCCCTGGAAGACTGGAAGGGTGCTGACACATTTTACTGAGCTTTTGCACGAATTGTACCGGCCAGCTGGCAGGATGGATTCCAGCTCAGCGTGCAGTAGGTATTCGAATGCAGGCGGCCAAATGGCCGAGCGAGGCGTGCCGCCGCCGGGCCAATGGCGCCTGACGGGCTATCAGTGACTCGATCACCGGGCGAGGTGGCCCGGCGCCCCGGACGGCGCTCGGCGCGCCCCGCGCCCCCTCCAACATCCGGTGCCGGCGCACGCCGTGGAGCCGGGCCGCCACTCCGCCCGGCACGTCTCACAGTATAGGGTGACGCGGCGCCCTGCCCCGGGCTGCGCGGCCGCACGCCTTCCGCGGAGTGAGCAAATGCACTGCCACGGCCGCCGGCTGGCGTTCACTCCGCGCTCCTGTCGCGGCGGCGCGTGGCTGGGTCGGATTACACGCGGGAGCGCTGGTCCACTCCAGTGTATGTGACCCAGTGCCTTTGGCCGCGGCGGCTACCTGCCGGACGCCGGTGTTTGTTGATCGGAACAGGCCCCGGGACCAGTTACATCAGCCGCGTGCAGTTACCACGCCCAACTCGGAGACGGCTCCTCTTTATCATGTCCGATTGCAGCATGTTTAGCGGTAATGTCGTCAGCTTTTTGTCGATGTTTGTGACCATCAAACCTTCATATTCGGCATGCCTGCTCACAACGCCCCTTCCCAGAAACCTCCCTGTCGATGTCGTTTTCTTCCAGAAACCCGTCTTCCGAGTATGAGTGAAACCTCACAGTTGGAGTCGGGAGCCCAGTGGGCCATGTTTCCTGACGTGTCGTCTCTGCAGCACTCCAGTGGACTGTGCTGCCGGTCACTGATGACGTGCTCTCTGTTGCCGACAGGGTCGTCACCCCGGCTGGACTGTCTGCTGGACATCTGGGACTCGCTCGTCCTGCGGAGCCGAGCGTGTCGCGCGGAGGAGCTGCGGACGGAGCCGGCGGCGGGGCCGGAGAGGGTGGTGCAGAGTGACACGAGCAGAGGTGCGGAACTGTGTGCCGGTGACGTGTCGGCGGCGCCCGGCTCCCCCGGCAGTCGGCTGGACTCCCCCAGACGCGGCGGGAGCAGCAGTCAGTGCGGCGACCCCCGTACCCCAGCGGTGGACAGCGTGGTGAGCACGGCGTCCGTCCAGATCTCTGCTCTCCCGGGGGACGCGAGACGCGGCCTCTCCGTCCGGGAGAACACCCGAACTGTGCGGCTCCCGTCAGTGCCGACCGCGGCGCCCACGTGCAGTGAAGTGAGCGCGGTAGCCGCATCGATGGCGATAGGCGACGCCGACCGCGCGGACTGGGAGATCTCTGTGACAGCCACAGCGAGGGTCACGCGCCGACCGGCCTCTCTGGCGGTCCCGCTGTCTGAGCCCCTGTCCCAACCCTCCTGCTCGCCCTGCTGTCAGTCACGGTGCTCCCCATCGTCAGAGCTCGGCTCCACGCACCCGTCCAAGACTCTGGCGTCGCCGCTGTCCACGCTGTCAGCGCCCACCACGGACAGCGGCATCTGCGAGACGCCCTCGGAGGAGGCGTGCTCGTCGTTTGAGCTCTCCATCACGGGTGAGAGTAGCCTGTCGGCCGGCGGCGACAGCACCGGGGACGAGGCGGCGCGCGGCCTGTCGGAGCGGCCGCGGCCGGCGGCGGGCCGCGAGCGGCGCGCGCCGCGCTGGAGGACCGCTGAGCTGAGGCAGCGGCCGCTCTCCGTGGTCAGCACGGCCTCCTCCTCGTCCTCGTCTGGTGGCGGCTCGCTGCCGCGCTCCCTGGTGCGGCGGCGACCGGCGCGCGGCGCCGCCAGAGATGTCACAGGTGAGCTGGGGGGAGATACCACAGGTGAACAGGGAGATATCACACTTCACAGGTGAACGGGGAGGCTGTCATGGGTGAACGGGAGAGACAGCACAGGTGAACAGGGGAGATGTCACAGGTGAGGGGGAGATAACGTTGGTGAATGTGGGGCCAGCGGGGAGGCTGGGGACGGGGAGAGATGTCAAGAGGAAGGCATGAACGATCCTCTGCCATAGCGCTGCTGATTGATACCTGCTGCTTCAGTTCCCACATCCCTCGGCCTCCGCAGTGCCGGCCGTCCTACAAATAAATGTCACTACTCTGGATATATGACACCGGCTCATTTATCAGTGTCGACACATTCCAACACACGCTATGTTCAGTGTCTCTCATAGAAAGAAGCGCACACGACGACCGTCTCATACAGACGGCATATCGGTGATGGTAAGTCGACTTTAGAGGTGGACACGAAGCAAACTAGTTAAATGGAAAGCCGGACCAACCATCCGCCACATACGTACAGCTGCGGAACTAATTGAAACGTTTTTATAAAATGACGTTTTATTTGATATATTATAATCTATAGGTATGTAAGTAATTTATGAGATATATGGAAAATGTTCGTTGTGAGTTTTCTTGTGCTCAAACATTGACCTGTATTAGCTCTTTTATAATTGATTGTATTGTATGTTTCATTTTATGAGCTGTAGCATATAGGTATGGTTTCAGTTGATGTTTTATACCTACGTAAATGTCAAATGCCCGGTGGGCTTGAACAGAATTAACGCACGGCGAACGGCACAGCAACGAATCTCTGGATTCAAACACAACATGGACGATGGGCACGACCGATAAACTTGTCCGATAGACACATCCGATAGACACGTCTGATAGACACGTCTGTGAACACGATAGATGATCGTCATAGCCTAATTTCAACACGATAGCCTAATTTCAGACCTGTTACTGGATGCTTCCTTCAATTGTTAGCGGCATTGCAACTTTATTTTCAAAGCTGTTATTCAATTCATTTTGACATTGTATCGCGTGTCATTACCGTTCAAAACCAGAGTCGGTCTTTCGTGACTGGGGGATTGTGACTGTGGCGGACCTGTGACTGTGTGACTGTGACTGTGTGACTGTGACTGTGTGACTGTGACTGTGTGACTGTGACTGTGTGACTGTGACTGTGTGACTGTGACTGTGTGACTGTGACTGTGTGACTGTGACTGTGTGACTGTGTGACTGTGTGACTGTGACTGTGACTGTGTGACTGTGACTGTGTGACTGTGACTGTGTGACTGTGACTGTGGGACTGTGTGACTGTGTGACTGTGTGACTGTGACTGTGTGACTGTGTGACTGTGTGACTGTGACTGTGTGACTGTGACTGTGTGACTGTGTGACTGTGACTGTGTGACTGTGACTGTGTGACTGTGACTGTGTGACTGTGTGACTGTGACTGTGTGACTGTGACTGTGACTGTGACTGTATGACTGTGTGACTGTGACTGTGTGACTGTGTGACTGTGTGACTGTGTGACTGTGTGACTGTGTGACTGTGACTGTGTGACTGTGACTGTGTGACTGTGACTGTGACTGTATGACTGTGTAACTGTGTGACTGTGACTGCTACTGACCGGTGACTGCGCCGCTCCGCCGCAGACTCGGCCGGGAACCCTTTGGCGGTCGGCGGCGGCGGCGGTCTGGCGCGCACCCAGTCCCTTCAGCTGGACGGCTGCGTCACCCAGGCCGACCGCGTGGTGGCCGAGATCCTTCACACGGAGGCGGCCTACGTCAGCGATCTGCGAGAGGTGCTGGAGGTGAGCCACCACAGCGCGGTCACCAGGAGGTCACTGACGGGTCACAGAGGGGTCACTAACGGGTCACCGATGGGTCACCTGGGTCACTGACGGGTCACAGACGGGTCACCAGGGGGTCACTGACGGGTCACCAGGGGGTCACCGATGGGTCACCAGGGGGTCACTGACGGGTCACCAGGGGGTCACTGACGGGTCACCGATGGGTCACCTGGGTCACTGACGGGTCACAGACGGGTCACCAGGGGGTCACAGACGGGTCACAGACGGGTCATCGGGCACGGGCCAGAGTGGCGGCCGGGCCGGGACGACTGGATGTCAGGCGGCTTTTTTCAGCTCAAAACGACATAAAACACGGAATCCGAAATGCTTTGCTATAGAGGTTAGAAACGGTAAGACTTTGGGGTCTCACGCCAGGCTACGACTCCAGAGGTCATGGGCAGGCCCAACGGCTGCGCTACACTGGCCCTGGGATCACTCCGTACCATAAAATAAACACTATGGACAGGCTGTCCAAAACCGAGCGTCAGCCGGTGTTTGATCGGAGACGGTATTTACAAATAACTGCTCCGTCTATGTAGCCGCCAGAGTGAAGAAAACGCAAAACACTTTATCCTTTGGCCGGGCATATAGTTACTGGTATACGCAGCCATCCTCTTGGGTTGACACTAGTACTTACACCGACGTCTGTCATATTCGGTACTGGTATTCGGTACTCCTGGCATTCGTTGTGACTGGTACCTGGAGATGTTTCTGCTCCATTTGTCGTTGTCCATTATCCATGGGGCAGCCTTTTTGTGTCCCAGACCGCCCTGGGACGGACCGCTGTCCTTGAAGGGTTGAACCGCCGCCGGCCACCCCTCGTCCGACTGCGAGTCGAAACCGATCGACCGGCGGCGCTGCGACCTTGGACGATCGTCCCTCGTTGTGTCAGGCCTCTGTTCCATCTCACTGATCAGTGGTAAGGGACACTAGTTTCAGAGATGCAAATGTCTCCCTAAAATCAGACCCACCAGGAATCAGTGCCAGCGCTAGAACTTTGTGATATATTCTAACTAGTAACTACGCATTGGTCCCTGGATTGGGGTCAGAGCTCTCCAGTCGTTCAGTCATTATGTTTCTTATCTATCTTAAACCGCTTTTGTTTGGGAGATGGAAATGATCTTGAAACGGAAGTTGGGCAGCCCATCAAATGCAGTGATTTATAGTGAATGACCTTTCCCTGCTATTTTCAGTGGTATTGTTCAGTTTCATTCGCAAATTGACGAAGGATATTCAATAGTTTCTAAATTGTTGAAAGGGACAAAACTTATGAGTTCCGATGTGAAAGTGTTCTCTCCTTTAATCATATACCTTCCACATCCTAAAGGTCATAATATGCAACCCGTTTTGATTTAACAAATGTGGTAAGGTAGGTAACAGATTCTCTGATATCGCAAGGTCGAGATTCACTCACATACCTACTGTTTGATGTAATCCAACCTAGCTTGATGCCTAAAACGAACGACGCTTGTATCTGTTTACGCAACTTACTTTATGATTAATTGATATCTCATTAGTTTACTAAGCTTGATAACTCCCATTACTAATTAGCCACTAATAAATCAGTTAGAACGAATGATTCATGAAACGAATCAGTGAACTTCTACATCCGTCAATCCATATTTATGTGTTTAGTGACGGACTATATACGCTCTGCCGGGTTATGTAAATGTTGATGCCGAGCGATTTTCGTGAACATTTTGGTTGACAGTAATCCATACATCAGCACATTTGGGACTTCGATGTCCCGGTAGGATCAAGCTTTTAGAAAGTTTTTGCTCTCCGACAGTGCATGAGGTAGCGTTGTAGTTCGTATTGTTCTGCAGTAACGGTCTCGCCTCTCTGATCATCATGCATGGATTGAGGATTCACCTTTGGGTCTTAAGTTTCGGCGGGTGGTGTATCTGTACATATAGCTGTTACACCATTTGGTAGCATCTTTAATTATTTCGGATGTTTGTGTAGTGTTTCAAAGCCTTGGTGAATGCCTAAACCTATAGCATTCGCGTCGACCAGCACCAGGATGAGTACTGAGTAGGTGCTGTAGAAGAAAATGTGTGCACAGCATGATACATCTGACCGTTTAGGTAAGCCAAGCCAAGATTCCTTTACTACTCAGGTTGGTTCACTAGGGAAATAAAGGCGCCGTGGTGACGTCATCAGAGGAAATCCTTCACGTTCAAATAAAGGGGTCATTTGAATTGCTGTTTTTGGCTCGATATAGTCCTATTTTTTAGTTTCAGCCCCATTTATCGTAATGAGGCGAACTAATTGTTACCTACATTGGTACAACTTTTGATGACACACAATCCTTGTTTTTTTTTTTTTTCTCCAGCTCGCTCGAAAGATGATGAAATTTGCATGCATGCCTATGGGTGAAGGGAGATTCTACCGCCGTGGTGACGTCACGGTAAAGGGATTCTGGAGCTCGTGAACGGGGGCTGAGCCAAGCTTCATCCCCAGTGCTACCAAACCAGATCCACGACACGTGTACAGCATATGTCGACACCCTTTTTTTAAACCCCACATTTGTTCTCCGGTGAATTTCAGACCAGTTGGTTAAAGACCTTCAAAAAAGGTACAATCACTCGATTTTTCTCAAGTTTGTCTGTCTTGGCAGATAAAGCAATACCAGAACAGGCCTACGAACACACATATTTGATCAGGATCGGACGATTGGACACTTTTAAAAGGAGATCTTTCGTGCCTCCCAGAAATTCACGGGAGAGCAGATGTGGGGTTTAAAAAAAGGTGTCGATATGTTATACCTACCTATACGTTTCTTAGCACAGCCATGATCCAAGCCAGTTAATCCGTCTCTATACCTGCGCTGAGCATGCGCACGTGACGCCGTTCACCGCTGAGGGTGCTAAGCGGCTGCAGTGTGCAGCACGCACTGTGCACTGTGCAGCACGCACTGTGCACTGTGCAGCACGCACTGTGCACTGTGCAGCACGCACTGTGCACTGTGCAGCACGCACTGTGCAGTGTGCAGCGGTCTTGGCACGGCTGGCCTGCAGGACGGACGGTCGGCCCCTGAGTCATCCCGGCGCCCTTCAGTGCTCAGTGCCCATGTCGTCTGGCTGCTGTGCTGCCTTCTGCTGCCAAAACCAATCAGAATCGACATGGGCTCGGCTGGGATGAAAGGAAAGTGACCACTGACCAGTGGGCTGAGCAGGTGGTGGCCGCGAGCCGCATGGCTGGCCCTCTGCCGACTGCCGTGGGGTCAGCAGTCCCATAGAGATCTTATATACATAGAGATGACATGCACTTAAAATCGTGGCGATTCAGTGGGTCTTTTTAAGCAACTTATTTTCAGCCAGTAGCGTGCCAATATGGCTGAGGCATTGTTAGTCTGAAGAAATTATTACGTAGCGAGCGAAGCAAGCGTAGTCTTTCGTAGATTAACGGAAATTTCTGAGTATGAGCGGCCGGCCGGCCGTGGTTACGCTTTTGCGAGGCTTATATCTCAGCAACCACCTGACCGATTTATATTCGATGATTTTTCTAGGGTTGCTTCATTCCTTCTACCAAGTATTGGACTATTCTCGATACATGTGGGTGACCGCTTATGCGCGTGCCACGTGCAAAACGAAGAGGTGTCAGTTTTGCAATTGTTGCAATATCTTGGTAACTACTTGGCCGATTGCGCTGAAAGTTGGTATGTAGGTAGGCACCCACTAGGCAATGCATATCCAATATCCATGTGCCACAGTTGGGGTGCTGCTGCACGTGCGCACGTGCAGGGGTCGATTCCAGATCTCGAGAACGGCTGAACCGATTGTGCTGAAATTTGGTACATGGTTAGGGACCAGTTAGTAGGATGCCGTGCAAGTCAGTTGTGACCTATTTTGCACGTGTGCACGTGCAGGGTGCCGCTTCCAGATCTCGAGAACGGCTAGGCCGATTGCGCTCAAATTTGGCACATCGCTAGGGACCGGTTAGTAGGGTGCAGTGCACAAGTTAGTTGGAGGTGTCCCTTGCAAATTCCCTTGTCCAAGGCCCACCCTCTCGCTCGCTCCGTTGGTCGCCCCAAAAGGCGTTTTACTGGTTAAAAATATTGCTGTTCTTTCCTGGCTGATTTCATTCCTGAGATAAGCAATGAAATTTGTAGCATGATTTCATTTTGTGTTTTTATTGAATTCCTTAAAAGCTCGCCTAAAAACATTCTCTCATTCAGGCTCTCATCAACCCGGCAGGCGGTGGACCTCCCGGCCACCTTCCGTGCGGTGGGGGGCATTTTTTGCCCCCTCCCGTATCTCCGAAACTACTGGACGGATCCGTAACATTCAAACGATGTTCGATAGCCCTGTCAAATTTGTCGACGGAACTCCAATTTCATTGACCTCGGGGTCACCGATGACGTCACAGGTCAGGTCAAAGATAAAATGTTTCGCGTACGTTAAAAATAGGGCGTACGTTGCCTAGTATATATGTTGCTATTAGAGGTCACTGATAATACCATGTCAGGTCACAGGTCAGGTCACCAAGGGTCAGCACATGAACCAACTTTACTATTTACTAGGGTTGTGCGATGCATGTTTTATGGCCTCCCTGACATGGTCCCCCCAAAAAAAAGGCTACAGGTCTAAGGTCATTTGGGTCAGGTTCATGGAATTTTCAGGGTAGGTTCCTTGAGATTTGGTCAAGTTTGGCGCTTTCGGTCAACCGTCGTGAAAACGGCTGTTCTGAACCTTTCTGAGCACGGTGCAAGCTCAAATATACATATGTTGCATGTTCCCATTCAATGATACATTAACCCTCGCCGGACCTATTGGTTTTCTACATACGCGCCGGCCGGGGGGGCAATAGACAATAGACAATTTATTCGGGACATTCCACGTGTACATGTGGCTATTACTGCCCGTCGTCAATAAAACAGAAACAGGGGGGGGGGGGTACGATTTCCCTCGCCGTTTCGCCCCTGATGAAGCTAGAGCGTCGCGGAAAAAACAAGCGTGTGCGCCGTTACAAGACGCAGGGACTGGTACCCGATTTTAAGGTCTCCTGAGGTCAGGTCAAGTGACCAAGGGCCAGGATTCAGTTTTTCA